GAGCCTCGACGAGCGATGCAAACACGCGCCGCGCGCGCAAAATACGACCGTCGTCTGCGACTTGTTGCATACTTTATGAGCGAGCGCTTGAAAGCTTGAACGTAAAAGGCGAATCCGTTCTAGAACATTAGCCGCGCATCAATTGTTTAGTGTCAATGAAATGACTCGCCGCCCGAGTGGTCTTTGACATAAAATGCGCGGACTGACGCACTCAATTTTCTATTGCAAATTCGCAGCAAATCCTGTCACCATCTATAATTTCATCTAAGGAGCTATCCTGGAGGACGTTTTCCCGACGGCGCACGCCTGTCGGCTGCAGATCTCGTATCAGACGGTATCAGCATAGAGTGCGCGAATGTGAAGTCAGTATAATAGCATGAGACGAGCACTTCGTATTGATTGCGAGAGGTTGATGTGCCAATAAATCGATGATTTGAGAAATGAATACGCCACCTAAGCTCTATATTGATCGATGGTTTACGCCCCCACTAATGGGCAAATGGACCTCGGCTGATTCCTCAACAGTGTCGGCGACTGTTTCTCCACAGATATAGTTATTGGATCGTTAGAATACCGCTATTATTATTATTACTATTATTATTATTACTATTACTATTACTACTACTACTACTACTACTACTACTACTACTACTACCACTACCACACCACTACCACTACCACTACCACTACCACTACCACTACCATTTCCATATTTCCTGGGTACGGTTCGGTATACCGGAACTAGTGTAGTAGTAGTAGTAGTAGTAGTAGTAGTAGTAGTAGTAGTAGTAGTAGTAGTAGTAGTAACAGTATTGCGTAACGTAAATTAAATTTGGGCTGACACAAAACCTACGTTGGTCTGGCCTGTGATCTAAACCTATTAACAATTATCAACGACAATATCAGCTATTATAACGCCCACTAACACGGCAGATTCCGATTTTTAACGAATCCCTGATCGCTCATCGAGAATTTTTTCTCTGGAGAGGCGATCATCTACATTACGTAGGCTGTGCGAAATAAATGTGTCGGACGATCAAGCGCGATCTATGTTACTCCTGCCGAATCGATTTTGGCATCAATGCGCTCATATCCACGCTCAGAAGGACCCGCGGAGCAATCCAACTAGTAATTGAATTTCTAATCATCATCAATCAGGCGTGCAATTCTCTGCCGTTGAGCTCAATATATTATCAGGAGTCTAGCAATATAATTATTATGCAACTACCGGCCATGCGTTCAACGTTATGGAAAAGTCTGCCGTATAATTAAACTATAGTATATACTCTTCCACTGTAGTTTTCATGTAGTAAGCCCTAAAATTGTACAGTAAGCTTTATATTACGGTAATAACTGCAGTACCAGTGCGGTACTTCGGTAATATAATATTCATTACGTACACTGTAGTGATAAATTAATGTAGGCATTATTGCATGTAGCAACGTGTACAGCAATAGGTTAATTCGCACAGTGTTGTATGCGCCATTTGCTCTCTTGATCGGTCTATCACCATGACAACTAGCTGAATAATAAATCAACGGATACTACAGAGGCGTCCCTTAATAAAAGTTTTGCGGTGAATCTTCTGACAATCATATCGATTGTACCATCTAGTATTTGAGAATTCTAGGCCATCCTGCTAGAGAGTATCCTTTCATCTTGCAGGGCTGGTGACACCACGATGAACGCTGCTATCTCCAGCCTAATGCACCTACGGGAGCAGCAGCGGCCCGCCAGGGGCATCACAAGTCAGCTAATGCATCTACGGCAGCGACAATCGACCACTAGGGGGTCTCGATAGGTGTACATGGATATATTACGTGCCTACTGAAGTTCTCCAGTATTGCCGGATACATCGTCACCGCAATTCGTTCACAGTTGTTACTGCACAGACTCTCGTGAGTGGCTCGTACCGTTGTTTTTTGCTGACAACACATGAAGCGCTGACGTCATGATGGCCGCTCCGTCGCCATCACCAGCACCCCGGCGTTGTCCCCCGAGCGGCAGCACTCGCCTGTTGCGCGGTCTACAAATCTGCCAACGTCCGTCGACTCCCAAGTGTTACAGCTTTCAGATTGTGCCTACGCGTGAATTTGAAGTCGTTAGCAGGAGCGCGAGTGATGAAGTCGTCAACGACTCTGTAAATGAAGCTTGGTCGAGATTGCCAGTACGCGCCTTGGCAGATACTCGCGCCTAGCTAACGAGGATTACACAGCAGATTTGTGCATTCCAAGTAAAATACGTACCAGAACTTTCTGAAGAAAGCGCCTTCCCTCCGAAGAGGGATTACTTCATTTCACAATAGCACCTACTTATCTCTTCGATCGATAACCCAATGCTTCTATCGTTAGCAATTCTTTTCAAAATATAGCACTGCCCCTGCCAGAAATAGCTCTACCCCTCATACAAATAGCTGTACCCTTCTTACAAGTAGCTCTACCTCTCTTACAAATAACCCAAACCCTCTCACAAATAGCCCAACCCCTCCAACAGATAGCCCAACCCCTGCCGCACATAGCCCCATCCTGCCACAAACAGCCCCACGCTGCACACGGTAGCCCCACCTCTCCCACAGATAGTCTCACCCCTCCCGCGGACAGCCCCACCCCTCCCGCGGACAGCCCCACCCCTCCCGCAGATATGCACCGAGCGCTGCGTCGCCGGTCTCACTTCGAGGCTGAGCGGGAGGCTCAGCGTCGCTCCAGCGTGCACGTGCTTCGCGAGCCCCCAGCCAGAGGTGCTGCCATCCGGCGGGCGTCTATCGGCGTCCCGCCAGGCTACCGCGGCACGGGGCCGGCCGCCGACAGTTCGCCGGAAACGGACACAGGCGGCGCTGCAATCGCTGAAATTAGCACCACTGCCGTCGGCGTGTGTGTCGGCTGTGTGGCTATTTTAGTCGTCGGCTCGCTTCTCTACTCGCTGACAAGAGTGATGGCGGAATGAGAGATTTAATTGCTCGAGCTCACATCGGAAGTGATGACGTGACAACGGAAGCGGCCACCTTCTGTGTACGAGAACGCTATAGATATGAACACGTAATTATTATGAGTTACACTGGCGTATATAGAAGATGGCTGCTTCTATGGGTATTTGCAGCATTCATATGTTTTGACACGAATCTAGCCCTATCTTATTTAAACGAATTTCATGGCTTTATGGCTTAGATTTCCACAATCATAAAATTGCTTTTATAAAACAGGTAATTTTATGGAAAATAACGCGCAACAGTCCGTGACTCCCCCAAAACGTGCCGCCACATTGAAATGCATCAATAAATGGCGCTTACCAGTCATTAGACATCGATTTAGAAAGTTACTAGAATTAGCGTCACTGCCTTTCGCGCTAAAATGGAGGTTCACCCACGTCATGGCAATGAAAGCTTTCGCGGTTTCCTCGTGACTGACTCGGTGGTGCCAATCTATAAACTGTATAACGCTCCTATATATAGGAAAACAGCCCTGTGGCGGCTGAATCAGGCTGACTAATTAGTAAGTAATGAGCTTATATAATTACATTCATCACGATTAGTTACCATCTGTTGCCGATTCGTGACCACAGCCATAAAAAGCCAATGATAATCCACAGATGCTCGTGTCACCGTAGCTGGCTCTCCCCGCTCGATATACTGATCCGTGTCTAGCACGCATAGCTCCTAGCACAGGTCAGTAGGGAGACGGTCAGAAACGCCTAAGAGAGAGAGAGAGAGAGAGAGAGAGAGAGAGAGAAAGAGAAAGAGAGAGAGAGAGAGAGAAAGAGAAAGAGAGAAAGAGGGGAGAGGTATAGGAAGGATAGATAGGAGAGATAGGAGACAAAGAAAGAGATAGGGAAGAGAAAGAGAGAGAGAGAAGAAAGAGATAGGGAAGAGAAAGAGAGAAAGAGAAAAAATAGAGAATCCTAGATAAATAGATAGATAGATAGATAGATAGATAGATAGATAGAGAGAGAGATAGAAGAAGAAAAAAGGAAAACAGCGGGAAGCGATCATCTAGGCTATTACCAGACTTATTTCTACACATTAGTTGGTTGACTACGCAGGCGGTGCTTGTTATTCGCTTCGCCGAGTATTTTATACTCCCAGGCAATCTCACCAGGCGCGTTCGCACTACCAAGTAACACGATTAGGTAAACCTTATAGGGGCGAAAATTGTAATATACATATATATCGTAAGCGTGAAATTCAGTGAATTCGTGGAGCATTTGGATATGTAACTGCATGTGTGTGTGTGTGTGTGTGTGTGTGTGTGTGTGTGTGTGTGTGTGTCCACGTGCGCGCATGCGTGTTTAATATAATAGCAAATTTGGGAATTGACAACAGCATGGCCACGCACGATTACCTCGAGTGGCATTTTCAGTAGCACCGAAGCTTTTGCTGCGCTAGTGCCGACAACGTGTACTATGCTGATAGTACCATCGCCATAAGCACCATCGCCTCAATGCGCCACTATCTATCCAGACCTGTCACATAATATTATGCGTATCAGCTCAGACTCGCGCGCACAGTGGTCGTCTCTGACTGCAGTGTCTTCCGTATTCCGCCGGCCTATAATCAATGCATTGTCCGTGCGCCGTCAGTCCATTGACCGGTGCTAACTGACGGCCAGCAATCCCAATATAATCTTATTCATTGCCGGTATCGGCGTAAACGCTAGTAAGCGGAGATACGCCGTGCGCGTATAGCACGTCATGCGTCGAATTTCGTAGATTGAATTATATATTGGTATCGATATGCTGTCCGTGAATTTATATGTAAATACGTGGAGCATGCTATAATTATAGATTAAGTGCACGCGATGCCGTGTATGAAGAGTAACGTAATGCGATGTGTCACGAACCAATAAAAATATTGACTAAAATGAGCGCGCTATTCATGAGTGAATATTTTCATTCTAGCAACGGATTTGTAGCAGCGTGCTCGTTCCGGGTTGCGTGCGAACCTGTAATGGCGTTTAAAGGATATAACAACCGTGTTCGGAATGTCAATAATAGTCATGAATACAAAATTAACTACTCGATCGTGCATGTATTTTATAATTAATATACATCATACACAGAGATCCATTTTAATTAAAATTAAATCAATATGATTGCACACTTTAACCATACCCCGCGTATTTAATAACGTGGTCATTATTTCTTATCAAACTAATGGCGACATTGCGTGGGCGCCTACGATCTTCTAATGGAATCATGTTGTACTAATGCTAACGTCATTAAAGATGCAACGTGGGCGTTGTCATGGCTCCAGAGCATCAATTAGCTCGCAGCTTTCGATGTTGCATTGACTCCGTCGGCTTGCGGCAGTGCGTCAGGGAAGCCGTACAGGATTTGCCGCGCCATCTCACCGAACGGCGTGTCCAGCGACCGGATCGAGTTCTCGTCGTGTTCCGGGATCGGGTCATCTGGGGTCAGATAGTACCTGTGGTTATACAGCAGGTGCAGCGCGTCGAAGGCGCGCCAGTCGAGCGGGCCGTGGAAGATGCGATAGCACAGGTTCGTCACGCCGAACTTCTCGGGTACGGCGTGCACCAGCCACGGATAGCGATTGAGTATCTTCTCCGTCGGCAGGTCGCCGCCATTGTAGTACCAGCGGCTGGCATTGTACTCGGCGTACGAGCGCATGTAGAGTCGCAGGAACATCGAGCGCTTGTTGGCGATCAGCAGCTGGTTGCCCATCGACTCGCCGTGTCGCCAGCCGACGGTGAACTCGTAGCGACGGTAGTCGTCGAGCGGGCGCAGCACGAGCATGTCGTTGTCGACGTAGATGCCGCCGTGCTGCCGAAGCACCGACAACCGCGCCACGTCCGACGAGTGATGCACGTGCGCCAGCGCGCGGCCAAACACCTTCTTCGGGCGCGGCATGTACTTGACCTTGACGGCCGGTGCGTCCTTGATCATGTCCCAGTAGCGACCAGACGGCGCCTTGTTGCAGTGCACGTAGAGCACGTCGGGCCGCACGTTAAGCAGCGCCGCCCTGATGGCGAGCATCTCGACGAAGGTGACGTGCGGCTGGTAGAAGCGCACGAAGTGCACGACGTTAGGCACGACGTAGCCGTCGACGTCGGCGACGATCAGATGTCGGTGCACCGACCGCGGGTCGTACGCGAACTCCGGCGGGTCCGTCGGCGACCGCTGCTGCTGCTGCTGCTGCTGCCGCTGCGCGGCGCTGCTGTCTACATCTGAATCCGCGTCGCCCCTGGCTTTCTGTGACACCGGGTTCCAGGGCTGCCCCCGTGCGGACGCGTCGTCGTTGATGAGTGCGGTCATCTTCAACGCGTCGTTTTTTTGATTTACTCCGTTGTCGCGGAGACGCTGGCGCGCCACCACTTCGCGAGCCCCCACCGGGCCGATGAACCGCTGATTGTCTAGCTCCTGATCGTGGGGGCGCCACGCGAGGTGCTGGGCGTGCGACGCGCCCTCTAGCGGTACCGCGTTGCGGTGCCATGGCTGGTCATCGAGCAGGGGGACGGCGACGCGGCTGATGTCGCGCGGCGAGCGCATGTGAGCGGTAAACATGCGCTCCCTCTGTACGACACGCAGCTCGTACACACCGAGCACGGCGTATAGGCTGCCGACGATCGCCATCTTCACTAGCAGCAACCACCGGCCCGAGCAGCGCGCGCGTACACCCCCTGGCGGGGCAACTAGTACGCGAGCGCCCCCTGTCGGGGCACCTGGCGCACCGGAGTCCATCATTGGCGCTGGCCAGTGAAATGATTGTCGGTCATCTTATACTCAGTTATATCCGCTCAGCTTACGTCACACCGGCTTGCGGATGTACCAAGGCCGATTACGTCATAGGGGCATAGTTTGTTTTAATGGCAGCAGGATTTTGTAGCGCGTGCGCCCGAGGGCAGGTTGTACGTCCACCAAGACGCGCTCGCGCTTTGAAGCTAGTAATTATCGGTCTAGTCGATAGTCCCATTAGGCCAGTAAAGGAGACTCCAGCCGCGATGTCATGTAGCAAGGTAGACCTCCACTATCCCGTCACAATGCAGGTAGCTCAGTGCTGGCGAGGTACTCGATCGAATCTGGCAATAATAGCTGAAAAGGTGAATGATGGCGCCTTAGACAGTAAGCCTGCGACGATCTATCTAGTCACCGATTTCCGCTTGTCCGACACTCTGTGCGTCCGTCTGCTTGTCTGCGCGTTTAATCGTTCGACACTCTGTCCGTCCGTCTGCCGGTCTGCACGTTTAATCGTTCGACACTCTGTCCGTGCAGCTATGCGTTTAATCGATAGACACTCTGTCCGTCCGTCTGCTTGTCTGCGCGTTTAATCGTTCGACACTCTGTCCGTCCGTCTGCCTGTCTGCGCGTTTAATCGTTCGACACTCTGTCCGTCCGTCTGCCGGTCTGCACGTTTAATCGTCCGACATTCCGTCTATCGGTCTTCTTACCTTCATTGCTCACGAGAGGTGTCTGTGCAGGCATCCAACTGTTGTAACTCACGCACTGATCAGAAAAAAACAGTTACCGCTGCTCAAATATCATACGGTTAGCCTCTATAGATACAATACATTCGTAATGGCTCATCACCTGAGCTGATGATGCTATGATAACATGTCCAGGAGAGCTGCGCCACTAATACTCTGTAAATGTACTTATAGTATAACTGTCATACACTCTGTCACTGTGCTTATAGTATACCGGTCACACAGTCAGGTACTGTGCTTACATTATAACAGCCACGAACACACTGTCTGCCACTGACCTTATAGTAAAGTCGTTTACACACTCTGTCACTGTGTTTACAGTAGAACTGTCACAAAATCCCTCACGCTATGCTTATGGTGTAACCATCACAAACACACTGTCACTTTGCTCTTACGCACTCATTGAACGTGCATGCAGTTTAACTGCCGCATAGTCTGTGCCACTGTGATTGTGGTATTTCCCTGTCATACGCTCTCTGCCACTGCGCCTGTGGTATTCCAGCGATAATTACTGTGTTCGTGTGAACGACCAGTGAATGAACCGGCGATGGGCATTTGGTCGGCACACTATACATGTCCGCGACGTGGCAGCGATGTTGTGGTGGTGATCTGAATTGGAAATAACCCCACGGGGAACATCGTTGATCAGTCATGTGTGTCAGAGAGCCAGGTTGTCCGAGGACGACGGCCCGGCCGTCACCCGCACAGAATGCTATGCAGAAAGGCGAGGAAGCCGTACACTATGTATGTTATCGTAAGAGATGATTGCAAACTAAGCGTATATAATTACAATAACATGTGACATTAGAAAAGGGTGTTTATGCCCCCTCCCTGCGGCCTGTGCGTGTCGTATGAACATATATTCATATTGTCACCTACACTGACATCTACCAGTGTTGTCAGCAATCCTGACGTCTACCTGTGTTGTTATCCACCGGGACCATGTTGCCACGGCGGTGTGGGCGCTTGTTGAAAGTCGTTTAGTTTGGTCGTTGTGCCGCAGCTTTTCTTGCTAGCAGTTTCACTTCTTGTATAGCACATCAACTTTTTATTTGTCTGTATGGATTTTGCACTGTCTCATTGTCGCCTCCGCATTTCTTTCTGTCCAGTTCTCTCTGCCTGTCTATTTTTATCTCTCCCCTTCCCTCTCTCTCCCTCTTCGCGCGCTCTCTCTATCTCTATCTCTCCCTCTCTTGGTGTCTGTATATATGTCTGTCTGTCTGTCTGCCTGTCTGTCTTTCTTTCTGTCTGTCTGTCTGTCTGTATGTCTGTCTGTCTGTCTGTCTGTCTGTCTGTCTGTCGGTCTGTCTGTCTGTCTGTATGTGTGTCTGTGTGTCAGTATGTGTGTCTGTCTGTTGGCCTGTCTGTCTGTCTGTCTGTGTGTCCGTCTGTCCGTTCGTCTGTCCGTCCGTCCTTCCGTCCGTCCGTCCGTCCGTCCGTCCGTCCGTCCGTCCGTCCGTCCGTCCGTCCGTCCGTCCGTCCGTCCGTCCGTCCGTCCGTCCGTCCGTCCGTCCGTCCGTCCGTCCGTCCGTCCGTTCGTTCGTCCATCCGTCTATCCGCCCGGACGCCCGCCCACCCGTCCGCCCGCGGCATACGTGCATATAGGAAAGTTTATCGCTTTTCCTCCCGCCTCTCTATATTTCTCTCATCTTATTATCTTTTCTCACTCTATATCTCTGACATTCCGTTTCAAACACTACCGTTCTCAAAATTAATTTCTCCTTCATTAATAATATGTAAATAATGTAATTGATTAATAATTACTAAAACACGACGTTTCGTCACTCACCACTGAAACGATGCACCGGCGTGACCAGCAACACCGCCAGCCTACCTCTACCACGTACCTCGCACGTACACGCCACTCCCCTCCCTAAATCTGACTTTTATCATGACTCTACGTGTAGCCTAAGCTAGTGGATCGAGTTGTTTTTCCTTCCGGCATATACCTAATTATGTATTTGCCTGCCCTTGAAAACAATAGGGAATTGAGCGCGTCCTTGTCCGTGAAATCCCCTGGCTAAAATTTGCAAATAGACTAGGTTGCGCGCACACATGTATTAATCATGATGCCTACCTCTGAACGGTACCAATCAAGAGACACAAGTGACGCGATGATGTTAGTGAGTACAATCAACGTACAATACAGAGCACAGTATGATCATTGCTTCCGCTTTTCCAATTCGCTCCGGTTGAATTATTGCTCGGCAATGGTGATCGACGCCATGTAGGCTACTGAAATTACACTATCAACGTTACATCTCGGTATCTAACGAACGGTAAATCGTAGATTACGTCGTACTAATAAGGCAGAGATGGCGTTACTGATAAGACATTCATCAATGGAATTGCGCATACCACCGAGATAAAATCAGGAGTAAGATAATATAGGCCTATAATATAACCTATATTATCTTACTCCTGATAAAATCGTTAGAGCTTGCATGAAGGTGCCTCTACGTCGCTAGTATAAAACCGCTACACCAAGCCGTAGAACGTGTTCGAATAGTGTACAGGAAGCTAGTGGTTTTGTTGTTATTGAATTGCTAGCGTTAGGCACTAAAGGCGCTTAAAACCAGTTTTAACGAGCACGTAAATTGAGATCATATCGGAGCCGTAAGGGACGTGGTCTTGCAGCCGTGGACAGAGATGTCGCTCTCGTGCACGTTGCACCGAATCAACCGTAAAATCTGCCCGAGGCAAAACTTTTTATTCTTTAGCGCGGAATCGTTTGAAATCTCTCAAATGCTTGCGCGGGCGTACATACGCAAAGAAACCAGTATTGTCCGCGCTATAAGTTCAAGCACCCTTATTCGCCCCATTGATCATCCGGATAGCTAAAGTTGGACAGGAAGTTCAAGTACCTACTGCGAATAGTTATCACTACCCATCATCGCTGGACAGCACTCACATTTTAAGCGCGTTAGAAATGCTAACGGGATTCCCTCTCCGCCGTTTGTTTCTCCGTTTGTTGTAAGATATGACCCTACATCTTGTTCCGCAAGTGACCGCTTGTCGAGTTTTAATATAGCATTAATTGTTTATACATACCAGGTATGATACACCAGGTATGATACACCAGGTATGATACACAAGGTATGATACACCAGGTATGATACACCAGGTGTGATACACCAGGTGTGATACACCAGGTATGATACACCAGGTATGATACACCAAGTATGATACACAGGTGTGATACACCAGGTATGATACACCAGGTATGATACACAAGGTATGATACACCAAGTATGATACACAAGGTATGATACACCATGTGTGATACACCAGGTGTGATACACCAGGTATGATACACAAGGTATAATACACCAGGTGTGATACACCAGGTGTGATACACCAGGTATGATACACCAGGTATGATACACCAGGTATGATACACCATGTGTGATACACCAGGTATGATACACCAGGTATGATACATCAGGTTTGTGCCTATTCGGCATAGCCCAGGTTTGATGTATTTCGAGCATGCTAATAAACGCTTATATCACTATTCTCAGATAGTGCAACATCTTGAATGCTCTAACATACACTGTATGTGTTTTTTAAACTACCACTAGCGGGATACCCGGCGTTACCCGGGGAAATCAGTGGCGTTACTCAGTTGGTGACCGCTTGGTTGAAAGGAAAATACCTCAAAAAATCTAACTATCTATCTATCCAAGCATCCATCCATCCATCACATTCCATGCCATCCCATCCCATCTCATCGCACCGCATCCCATCCCATATCCCATCCCATCCCATCTCATCGCATCCCATGCCACCCAATGACATCCGATGCCATGCCATGCCATGCCATGCCATGCCATGCCATTCCATCCCATCCCATCCTATCCCATCCTATCCCATCTCATCCCAAACAATAAAAAATAATAAGAAATCAGAAGATAAAAGACATTAAAATAAAAAAGTAAAAAATTTAAATAATAAAATAAAATTATATAAAAAATATAATAATATTTGATCTGTAACCTACATAGGCTTCCGTGAAGTGTTCCCGTCAGTTTGCGCTATTATTATCATGTACAATCGTTTATTCTGGATTTTTACTAAACGTTTTAATGTAGTAAAAAATTTTAAATTTTGAAATTAACGGTGAAGCGGCAGAAGTACATACTAAACAGTGCAAAATAAAGAAACAGAATTTCCCGAGGTGGGATTCGAATCCAGAATCAATGGTCTTGGGGTACGATGCTTTATGCATTCGGCCACTGGGGCGGTATGGTTACAGAATATGATTAACACGTTGGAGATGGACAACAGATATCCCTCGTTCTATTTATAGATTGTGTACAGATTTTCAAGGTTTCCCTCGCAAAATCACATTTTCGGAGGTTACATTTTCTTCCAAAGTTGAGATGCAAGATACGGAATCATTGTCGACACGTGGTGTACGTTTCACGCCCAGCCATTCACCCCCTCTGGAGTATTTAGCCGGAATGTCTTACTTTAATAGTATAGATTCTGAATTTCGAATTGTATTTCGAATACTATTGCACCTGTACTAAAATGTTTTTACGATGTACAGCGAAATAACCACTTGCAGAAAATGCGCAAACTTGCGCATCCGGATTATTGCAGACGTTTAAACTTCGGTTAAGAAATGACTAGTGTACGCAAACTGATACAGATGAAAAGGGACCGGTGACATCTTTTGAGCCGTTATCTCCCGGGGGGAGGGGGGCACTCCATATATATTGCATGGTAGGTATGTGCCGCGGGAGAGACCCACCTTTTTCACCCTAAATTTCCGTTTAGTTTCAGTGCATCTCTTACTTCCCGCATTTTTAAGAATATCTCGTTCTAGAGTATTACAAGTTTACATTTTCGAACATACCCAGTTCCAGAGCATCCCATATTCAACAAACATTAGTTCCAGAGACCACCATTTTTGACTTCGCAGTGGCACATACCCACCAAAATGTAGGGTGAGCCCCCCCCCCGGGCGGCATCTACGTGGTCACCACAGCAAAACGAGTGAAAGCCAGTAGAAAGTGAAATCTAAATAGGCCAACGGGTTATCTCAATTTAAACAGTCAACATATGGTCGTTCATATATACACCCACCTGCAAGCAAACAAGTCGCAACCACAATAAATCCGCTTGTTTGAAATCGTTGCGCAGGTGTTCTTTGCTAAATCAATAGCAATTTCTCTCGCGAGCCAAAACAATTACAAAGATTAGTGGAGCACGGATACCACGTTCATGCTAACCCAGTTCGCTTTGTCGCGCGGTTAGCGGGTCGCTAGCAACTCTCACTAGCGACTGGTAGTGAGAGTCCGCAAGTATCAATTTCAACGCTATGCATGGTTGCCCTGGAAACGAAGCGTTGTTCATCATCTAATTCAGTCGCGCGTTCTCCCCCGTGAGAGCGCGCGTGGCGTGGCGTGGTATCGGCTGACTCGGTGCGGCGTCATGCATTCGCACGATGAGTCGCGACAACCCCGCCTACCTTGCGGCGCGCGAACATCCATGCCACGATATGTTTGCTTCCGCAAGCGTTATAGCTCATCGAGTGACACAAACCATGGCTAATGCTCAGTAATACCCG